TGTAAATACTGGATAACATCTCATATCCCTGTGGCTATGATGAATCTTTCCTTATCACAGCCAATCACAGATGTTTCCATATTCCAGCTGTCATACAGCACCTTTCTCTACCAGGCCTACACTGAGCCTCTCCCTAAACAGGTTTCTAAAAGCTTATATAATATGCTGCTGCAATTGCTCATCTTAATTAAATGCATTTGTTGTTTATGTTTTGGCCTAATGGTTACCGAAAGTGGCAGTACTAATTCCTACACAGCAATGTGGCTTGGCCTGTACTGGCAGATCAGCAGACATGCTAGGCTGCATGAGAAAAGTGACAATTAGGCAAGGATAGGGGAGGCCAGAGGTCTACATACTGTCCTTTTTAAAAAAAGCTGAGGCCTTGCTGTATTATCCACAAAAAATGCAGAAGATGACTATTTTAAACAAGAAAACGGGAATGAAATTCATCACCTAACTACTTCTTAATAACAAATGGCGCCTTCCTAATAGCAATACCTAATTAGAGAGCAAGTAATCAGATTTCTGTTCTTTGTTGTTCAACTCTATGTGCTGAATTAGGGCAGCAACATATTTTCCTGTAATGAGTAATTGGTAGCTCTGCATGTTTACAATCCATTACACTGCCCAAAATTTTGGGATTTTAATTTTGGGATTTGCCCAGTATAATTTTATCTATACTTTAGGGAAAAAACGCTATTTAACATAAGAAGTCTTCCTCTGGAAAAAGAAGTGTTGTCAACCTGACACAGCCTGAGGCCTTTAAATGAAGGTAGACTGCAACTTCGGAATTCAATTGGTTATGCATACTGGGAGTTGTAGTTCAAGAGATCACCAATTTCTTTCATAATCAAATAGCAGTTGGAACTATCTCTACCTGTTCAATCTTTTTATTATAAGCTTCCTGAATTTGTTTCAAATCATGTAGTGACCAGGTTTTCACCCTGCTGTAGTTTAGTTTGATTTTGATTAAGTGTGTTGTGTGAACCGCATCATTGTATTATATCAACCACATTTTATACTCTAATGCAAACTATTATATAAATCAAATCAGCAATGATTTCTGGTAGACAAAAGATGTGTGAATCCAATACATTGCTTGGATGAAATCCTTTAACTTGAAAACTAAACTTACAGAAGTTGTGGGTTCTCTATCTCCTGAGGCTTTTAAAGGCTGAACTCTATATTCCCATGAATGGTCTAATCGTTTTTTTCTGTACATTGAAGATAGAGGATTAAATCAGTGTTTGTCAACCTTGGAGATTCTGTGTTGGCTGGGGAATTCTAGAAATTGAAGTCCATACATCTTAAAATTGCCAAGGTTAAGAAATACTGCTCCAGATGATCCTTGTGGTCCCTTCCAACTATGATTCTATGAAATAGTAATGTATTTATACCATCTTGGACTATCAGAAGCAACAATGCTGTTATTGATAGGACTTGAAGATGCTATAAAAGAAGGATACTATTACTGTTATTGACTTTGCCAAATGAAAAAGGTTATCTCAGAAATCAACTGAACAAACACTATTTTATTTTAACTTGCAAATAAAACTTAAAGAGTCCACATAAAGTCAACAACTCTCATATTGCAATATGAATTAAATCAGGATCTAATACAGGAAGCCAGCAGTCAAAGCAATGGGGGTGTAAGGTTAATTGCACTATTTAATAAATCATTAACAGGACTGTACTATTAAATAAAACCATTAGCAAACAGGAAATTGCCAGAAGTGCAGCCCCTTACCTGAACCCCTGCACCTGTTCTATTCATTCTTTCAAGCCAGTATCTGTTCCTGGATAGTATTTGATTTTTGGCTGGCATCTCATTTAACTCACTCCTCCCAACTTGAGAGACTAGAAGGCTAGAAGTCTTTGACTGAGCAAGCAAATTAAGTCAGCCCTGCCACACATTCCTCAAGCTGTGTGTGCATGTCTTGCCCTGTTTACATCAGAACATTTGTTGATTTCTGAACAACTAGGCTCTGAAGAATAGATCACAATTAGTATCGGAAGACAAAGATATATATACCTGCTGTTCTCACTCCAGAAAGTCTGTTGCTTTCAAAAACAGTACTGGATAGTAGTCTTGTCCTTGTTTTTTTCTTGCCCTGCAGAAAAGCAGCTTAAAGGGCATGCATAAACTGAATGGAACTAAAGCTAGTTTTCCAAATTTCAATTCCTTCCTCTGCTTTACAGTCCATGTTTATTACAAGCCCTAATTGGCGGATTCCCAATGTTCTTTACTTCTCCTGGACTGAGAAGGGAAGGAGGGGCACCATTTGTTGACCTTTTTCCTGTCACTTGAGCTGGACGGGGAAAAACATTTGTCAATTTCATCTGGTTAAATCATACAGTACTATAGGACAGGTCCATTTCCCACTGTTTCCTCAATGTATATATAAACAAAATTAGTTTTAAAAAGTCCACTTTCATCACTGACTTACCAATGAGCTGGAGAGAAGTACAAGACGGCATTATGTAACGTTGGCCACAGGAAATTTTCAGTAGCAGATCCTACAGATTAGCCCCTTGTTACTAGCGCTAAAAATTTATATGACACATATGGAAAGAAACTACATTTTCACAGCAATATTTTAGAACCATCTATTGATGTCAGGAATTACCCTTTTTTCTTGGATGAGTTTTTGTACTTTTAAACATATATTTGACCAGTATGCATTAAAACTGGAAAATGTTTACTTGGCACACAGATGTACAGAACAGTTTGAATTGCAAGAATGATGCCAGAATTGATTAGAAATATGTCTCTAGTTTACAGGGATGTGTCCTCTTCCTGTTATTTTGAATATTGTCTTTTCCTCTGTTATTGCGTTATGAAAAAAAGCTGCCAATATGACCATCAAAAATGAAAGACTCAAGTAACCTGCAGATTTGCTAGTAAATCATACAGGCAGTGTAGATTACTCTGGCTCCAATTTCCTTGTAAGATGTTCCTTAGGCTTGCATAAAATAGTCTACATTATTCAGACATGTGGGCATTCGGAGAAAACAGAAGAGGAGATAATACATTAGCCAGACAACTATTTGAGAATCATGATTCAACTCTCCCCTAAACTGGAGGAATATGTATCATATATAATGGAATATGCTGTACAGTATTGCCAATGTACATAGACACATGGATATAGTAAACAGGGCTTCTGGCTCATATGAAAGTATCCTTAGATCTTCCATCCATAAGTTTTCTAAGCCTCCCACTGTCCTGAAAAGAACTTGCTTGACATGCTATCACCATTCACTTTATTCCACTTGATTTCTTGATCTTTCACTTGATTTTTTGATCTTTCTTGATTTAATTTGTACAGAGTCCTTTGACTCTTCTCAGTAATTAACCTAACACGGAGTATGCTGAAGTGTGATTTAGAAGTTGTTAGAAACTTGCATTTTAGACCTTTTTCCACAGTGAAAATTCATTGTTTGATTTTTAGGCCAGTCACTCTCAGCCCTCACAGCATTTTGTTGGGGAAAAGGAGAAAAATGTGTTTTATTTATCACCTCGAGTTCCTGGAGGAAAGACAAAATATAAATCAAATAAATACATCTCAGAATGAATTGGTTGAATCATAAAGAACTTATTTCTCTCTACCTATGCACATGCATCATGTGCATCATATTCATCAATTAAGATTCCAGAATTTCACTTGCCCAACAGGGACTAATTATAATCAATACTGGAACTAAAAGAGGAAGTGAAAGACAAATAGTGTACCAGACACAGTAGGAGACAGGGAACCCTTTTCTAATACAGCCTGTATCATTTCATATATGCATAACATTACTATGAGATCTAATTCTTCCAACCTAGTTGCAATCTTATTTATCAGGAAGTAAACTTATATTTTAATCAAGATATGAATTACATTTAATTTCCTAATCTGGTGCCTTCCAAATATTTTGAACCACCAGGATAGTCTATAGTAACTCATTTCCTCAGGCCTCTTTTGAACAGATTGTAGGTACTGATCACAATAAGACTACAGAATGTTATGATGGCCACCAGTAGCATTTTTAAGATTACATAAATGTATGACAGGCAGGCCTACCAATGTAATATCTGAAAACCTGATTTTAATGTCATAAACAATATACTTTTGAGGACAAGGTGCTGAAGACTGACAGAAAATCGATACCTTTAATTTGCAAGTGTCAGTATCATAAACAAATTGTTACTATGTACAAGCAGTGGAAATAGAATGTAAGCACTGGATTGGACTTCTTGTAAAGCATATTTATGATTTATGGCATACAAACTCATTCAGCTGCAGTTTATTCAACAAACCCTTGTTTAACGGTGTATAACCACAGAGAACTTTTTTAAAAATTTAGGCATGAAACTTATGGGGGAAGACGGAAAGTAACTCCACTTAAAGCAAACAAAGCGAAGTAATTATTGGACATTATTGGACATTTCCAAGAATTCCAAGCATTTCTTTAAGAAAAAAATAACACAAGCTGAGGTTCCGGTGGGCGCCTGACTCTCCAATCATTTCAGGATCCCTGAATGAAAGAAAGCCTCTCTCTTGCAAAGCTGCCAAATCTGGGCTGCAGAAATCCGGACGTGCGATAGGTTACAGGTCTACCGTACGCAAAGGCATGCAAAGGTACACAAAGACTGAATATCTCGCTGCCCTCTGGTAGCTGTCCAGATTGCTTTCAGCCTTTTTCGTCCTTATTCCGATCCGATAGCTCTGCGGAAACAAAAACGAATGTTTTTTGAGTGAGAGGCTTCAATTCAACCTACGTCCAACGCCCGTGGCACCATTTTAATCCAATCTTCCTCTTCCTCCTCCTCCTCCTGATACACAGCGTACAAACTTACTACACCTCTCCCGCAGTCCGCGGCTCTCGAGGCCAACCCACCAAGTTATAATACTGTATGCGCGTATAAATTTCAGGCGGCCAATGAGCTCTCGGAGGGAGGGGGGGCGGTATTACGCATGCTCACTGGAGGAAGAGCAGCCGCTCAGGAAGTGGCTGGTCTCACCAGGAAGGGGCGGGGCGGAGGGGTTTAGACGCCGGGCAGTGTAGAGTCTAAGCTGCCTTTGCGGTGGTGGCTGCGCCTGCGATGGCTTCTGTGTCCAGTCCGGTCCCTCGGCCGCCTCGCGGCGGTTGCTCCGTGCACTGGTTCCGACGGGGGTTGCGTCTTCACGACAACCCTGCTTTGCAGGCGGCTATCCGAGAAGCGACCTCCGTGCGCTGCATCTACATCTTGGACCCCTGGTTCGCTGCGTCCTCCGCGGTGGGCATCAACCGCTGGCGGTGAGTGGAGTCAGTCGGACGGTACTACTCCTGCGTATCCGCCAAGTTGGGGAGGTGGGTGGGGGTGGCGGGACTCGAGAGCAGGGTTGGAGCGGGTCAGGTTGCTCAGCGCGTTATATGACACGAGTGTCACGTTCATGCCGCGCAGCTCCTTCCCAGTGGAGTCAGCTTTCCATCATTCCGAGGTGGGTAAAATGAGGAGCCAGATTGTTGGGGCCAATAGGCTGACCCTGTAAGTCGCTTAGAGACGGCTGTAAAGCACTATAAAGCGGTATATAAGCCTTAAGTGCTATTGCTATCACCTACCGCAGAGATTTGAGAGGGGGTCGAAGGTGCATCATGTGTGCTGGGATTCAGTAGGAAAAGATTAAATGAAATAGGGACAACAGATCTGTGGGCAGTGGGAGAGGGAATAGGACGGGTAATGATTTTATGACAGAATGAATAATCGACCCTGCCGCCTTATAAATTCCCCTCCTGCCTCACCCAATGGTGATCTGTTTTGACCCTTGCCAACTTCTGGCTCACGTGACAAGAACCGTGTAGGTAGGATGAGTTGAAGAGCATTCTCTTGTTGATAGTTCGCTTGGAGGAGAGCAGCGCTGCGGAGTAAATAACAAGCCCGTGCAATATGACACTTACCCGGTCCGCTGCTTGTCCAAAGAGGTCACAGAAGAGGAGTTTGCTTCAGAGGACCAGTAGAATTAGGAACCCTGATCTGCATTGACACCTGAGTCAAATAAGCTTGAGAGATGGAGGGATATAACTTTGCTTAGCCTGTTTGAATAGGAGAGCTGAGCAGTTCTGTAGTAGGGATGCTTCAGATCTACTTATCCATCCTATTTAGCCTGCCTTTATTTTGATAAATAACTGAAGGCAACAAAATAAGTTCACAACAACAAACCTGTCAGTTGAGTTGGGCTGAGAGTGACTGGCCTAGATGGCTTTTATGCCTAAGGTGGGACTAGAATTCACCATTCCCAGGTTTCTAACCTGTTGTCTTAACCAAAGACTAAACTGGCTCTGTTTTTGGTTTCTGCGTTGAACAGATGGCTTGATTCTGTAGCCTAATGGCTCTTAGGCTATGGAGCCCTGTAATACTTTAACACTGAAATTCATATAAGGAAGCATGTATTTTGTCACAGGACATGTTGTTCTTTAGTTTTCCTCAGATATATAATATCCCCTTATTCCAGGAATGCACAAGATTCTCTTAAATGCTCAGCATTTCATTGCCATCCATGTTCCACACTCAGCCCTTTCAGTCACTACAAAAGTTTTAATACCCTATAAGTGTACATGTAATTAAAATTAAACACAGTTAATAGGATTATAACCTGGGCATACATTTAGTATTTTCCTTCCTGCCAGGCTAAATTTAACTTCAATTTTAAAAATAAGTATCCAGAATTTTCTAAGGCTGCATATGTCCCTGGATCTTCAGGTTATGCACCTATGTTGGTTTCTTGATTTATTGACTTCTAGATGTCAACAGATTTCAAAGTGACACATAAGGAAAGAATAATAATTTGCACGTAGGGTAATTATGTTATGAAAGAGCCACACCTGCATTTTCTCAATTATTTACTTGGAAAACCTATCTGATATTTAGTCCCTCTGTATGAAAGATTGTGGGAAGTGTGTCTGAATATTTCATCACTGAAGAGGCATCTCAGATCAGAAAAAAATGTTTTGAAGAGGGTCTCCTTAATTCACTATAACTAAGGCTGAGAAATTCCTCTTATGTTTTTCAAGATTCTGTATCTCAAGCTAATCTTAAAACTACCTTCTGAAATCTATGTCATTCTTGCTTTTTTGGTTTTGCCAACTATGTGGAGTATTCTAGTGCTTACAGAAGAAACATCCATATACATATTCAGCTTCTAAATAATACTATAGCTTTAAGAACTGGATCCAAAACTGTGGCAAGAAGGGCTTGCTTCAATTCCTGTTGCAAATTATTCTGTAGCATAGGTGTTACCATGGAAGAAGATGAATTGGTAGTGATTTAAAAGGATCCATACAAGACAGGAAGGATAACCCATTGATGACCTAAAATAACTGCTGAACAGGATGTGTTCTATAAGTAGCTTGGATCTAAGCTGTAAGATCCCTCTCCTCCCAAATCTGTTCTGTTACTAGCTTTGGGCATGCTTAACTTACCTGCTACTCCTGTTTCTTTGCCCTTGGTAGACTGCATTAAATTATTTTGAGCCACATTTAAGCAGCTCCTACAAAGAGCCAATTAAGCAGGGTATAAATATAGCACATTACTTTTACTTTTTGAGTGTGAACCAGTTAAACACCATACATAGCTACTGAATGATTCTGTATAGTTTTAGGCTTATAAACAATTTACTTGGAAATGAATTCTATCCACTGATGCATACTCTTAAAACCTCCTGTTTTAAGCTGGAATAGTTTTGGAAATAATTTCTAGACAGGAGTATGTCTTTTCTATATCACACAATACCACCACATTTTAAAGTCATCTCCCAGTTTTGCACCAATGAAAGTGAGAGATGGAGCAGCAATAGAAGTCACTCATTCATTGCTAACAGTTGTAGTGTGATTTTGCCTTCTTTCTTTAGGATAATTCTTGTTCTACTCGTTCTGCTATTTTCATTCAGTATACTCTTAATTGGGTCTCTACATATGAAATTCTGGGTATAAACGATGGGTTAGCTCTTCCATACCAGTTTAGTCATTTAGTAGGTGGAACATGATTATTCTGCATTTTTTTGCCAGAAGAAAAGTCTATGTAGATGATTTAAAGTTTAAAGTTTATTTTTCTTAAGCAAGAAAAATATCACAAGAAGCAAATGCCTGGTTAACATCTGGAATAAACAATGAATATTCATATTTAAAATATAGAAAGAAGTATAATGACTTGTGCAGGATATAATTAATGGAATTTTTTGTTCAGTATTTCATAATTTACTTATTCTTGTCATCCTTGTTGATTTTGGAAAAAAATTAAAACTTAGGAGAACGCCAATGCCATAAAACTTGAGTTCTCCAACTCTATTTCCATTGAAGGAAATAGCTATGAGTGACCACAGGGGGTCCTCAACTTAAGACCGCCCATTCAGCAACCATTCACAATTATGACAGTGCTGAACAAAAGCACATACGAACCCCTCCTGAACTTTCTACCATTGCAGTCAGTGGACCAATATTTGGACACTTCTAGCACATCCACTTTATGACTATGGCAGCGCTACAAGTTCTCCATCACTGCAGGCCGGCAAGTTTTGACTGGCTAGGCTTAGTGTTATATGGACTTTCCTCCTGCCTCATCACATCAGCAAAAGGTTTGGGCTTTCCCTTCTCCATACCACTTCCGGAAGGCTTTGGTCTTCTCTTGGCCTAACCTTGCAAATCCTCCTCATTTTCTATGCACTTCATTTTCTATGATTAAGCATACTGAGCTGATGCAAGGCATGGCTACCATAGAAAGCTAGCCAATTAAATGTGTTAGAGCTTGGAGATCTTCTAGTTCAGCTCCCTCCTCAAGCAGGAGATCCTATACCATTTCAGACACATGGCTGTCCAGTCTCTTCTTAAAAACCTCCAGTGATGAAACCCACAACTTCTGATGGCAAGCTGTCAATTATTCTCACTGTTAGAAAGTTTCTCCTTAATTCCAGGTTCTTTCCTTGATTCGTTTCCATCCATTGTTTCTTGTCCTGCCCTCCAGTGCTTTGGAAAATAAGTTGAAACCCCCTGCCCCGCTTCCTTGTGTCAGCCCATCAAATACTGGAATACTGCTGTCATGTCACTCTAGACCTTCTTTTCTCTAGACTAGCCATGCGCAATTCCTGCAATCATTCTTCATATGTTTTGGTCTCCAGGGCTTTAATCATCTTAGTTGCTCTTCCCTGCAGTTTTTTCAAAGTCTTAACATAATCTTCATTGTCTGGTGATCAAAAATGGATGCATTATCCCAGGTTGTATAAAGTGGTACTTACACTTCATGTGATTTTGATTTTTTAAAAAAATATTATTATTTTCCAAAGGTTAGAAAAAGCCTTGTGAGGCTTGGTATTCCTCTCATGATGTTTCTGAGGTTCTTTCTAGCCTTTGGAAACATCTCCAGGGCTGGGGCTTGTCTCATGAGGTTTCCAAAGGTAGAAAGAGTCTCAGAAACATTGGCGAGATGAGTATCACCACTGTGGCCTCTCCTGCCCCCTGAGGCACCTGGTTTAATGATCACAATGGGCAGCTTGGGACTGTGGTCATTGAGCAAGGCACTCACATGGGCATCTTACTTAACAACCACAACAGTTTACAACCCAAATTGTGGGCTGAATTGTAGTCTTAAGTTGAGGGTTACATGTAGCAGTATTTGCTGCTTGCATGGAGAATTGTAGCATTCAGCAAATGGTCCTTCATTTCTAGTTTACAGAATATGGATAAATCACAAATATTTTTCTATTTTCTCTGATAATTTGCATAAATCAAAAATTCAATTTTGCAGTGATACATGCATTCACACAGGACAATTTGCATATACATATGCCCTTAGCCTCTGGTTTTGTTCCTGACTTCTCTATATACAGCTTAAAAGTCAGCCTTTTATTTGCAAAAATGGCAAAGAACATTTTGATGGGGATATAAATTAAGAAAATCTAATGTGACAATGGATAGATTTTCTGTAGCTAGGAACTAGTAACCATGGTGGGTGTTGATAATATCATTAGGTGGAATAAAATAAAGCTTTTTGTCATCTTTTTTGAGAACCTGTGGGAACTTAAAGAACCAACCAATTACTCCAGGTTTCATGGAAGTTTAAAGAATCTATTTTGACCTAAATTCAAACTGATTTATACCATTTTAATTTTGGTCCTGAACTCATTCAGGGGTTTTATTTTTTATATTTTGGAAAGTGCTCTATGCATACAATTCAAAGACCTAGTGTAAGCTTTCACTGAAAAAAGATGCACACATATTCTTGTGTTACAATATAAGTTATATGCTGAGATAGTTATCCATTCTAGTATCCTACCTTCATGCCAGGAGCCAGAGACCCCTCAAATAAATTAAAAAGGCCAGACAACTGAATCAGTCAATAAGCTCTCAACTCTAGGATCATATTCATGTTAACCATATTTTCTAGGTATATGTGTCTGTGTATTATTCACTGAAGTACTTTTTATGACATAGTTTCAGATTGAGAACCTTCTTACCATGTAAAACACTTGATTTCCCCTTTCCTTCTACATTTTTCCCTCATGAAAAGGTATGGAAAAAGAAGATGTGTTTGCAAGAATTTCTTATTTGGGCCTTGCTAGACAATTTGTAGAAGAGTACAGAAATGGCCTTGAAGATGGTATTCAACATTTGTTATGTAAACACCAGTTTAGCTTTAAAAGGGAGGAGTGAATGAGCAAGAAACTCAAGATTGCCCTGCCTTGATTTTCTTTAGAATAATAGGAGGGTGACAGAATCAGTCAGGCTTTCAAGATTTGTTATTATACTTTTCAACTACAAAGCAGTAATTCTTATGACATTTGATTTATAACCTATTCTAGCTCAAAGGGATGATACAGTTACTGATTACATTTTGTTTCTTCTCTTTAGGTTTTTGCTCCAGTCTCTGGAAGATTTGGACAACAGTTTAAGAAAACTTAATTCCCGTTTATTTGTAGTACGAGGGCAGCCAACTGATGTTTTTCCAAGACTCTTTAAAGTAAGATTATAACCACATCTGAAAATCCTGCTTGGGTAGAAATAATTTGCTTTTATAATTTGAAAAATAAATCTAACTTATACTGCTAATGCTAATATTTTGTTATTTTGGGATTTGAATTAAAATCATGCTATCTATTTATAATAATATGGCTCTTCTATATATGCCAGCTGTTCCCTTTCATGCTTTCATAAATAGAGGTGATGTATGATTTTTGTGTAGTTGCATTCAAATAAATACTACTAATAGGATGGGCTTTCACCAGTATATTAGAATGGGTATTTTTTTTCAAAAAGGAATTATTTTTAAATTTATTTTAAAAATAGTAAATACTAAACATTTAATATTTTATTAAACAGAGTTAAAAGGTTTTTTCTTATTAAATTAAAAGCTCTTTTGATAATCTTTCAAATATTCATTCTGCCTAACGTAAGTATTTAATTTTCATGTTAGCATATAGATACAGTTTGCCTAAATATTTGACCTTTCAGTTATGGCTATGTTATTTTTGTGATGGGGCTAGACAAAATCATAAGAACAGAGGAAAAAATAAGAGGAAAGGGAAATAAAAAATTCCTAAGTGCATATATACACAGTTGTATAAACTACCAGAGTTTCTTGTCTTAAAAGCCTAGGAGCAAATGTTTTTAATAACATTGCAATAGTAACAGATTGGAAATGAGCCCAGAACTCACTCCCTTCATCTTTCCTAGTATGCTTCTGATGTAGAATTTGAAAATTATCCAATAGTAATGGGTTGGTTATAAACTATAAATCTGGGTAATATTAGCTCTGATTGCTTAATTCTCTCAAGCCTTTAGGGATGCTGCATACAGTACTTTTCAGCGATAAAGGCGTCAATTGACTTGTGTTTTATTCTCCTTCCATTAGAAAAAAGCTTCTTGGCTTATTAAGTTACAAAAAATCTAATTTATTCCTATTATATGGCAAAGTAAAATATAATAAGGTTTATAGGGATGTTCTGGATAATTGCTCCCATCAAACTAGCTAACATTACATACTATCAGAAATGATGGGGATTTAAGATCTTTAGAGAAACCATATTGCCTCTTTCAGTGGTAAACTGATTCAGATCCATTCTTTGGCATGTTATATCTGAAAATAGGTGTGGGTGTCATATGTACTGTAAATCCTTGATTTAATGAACTATGAGGGGAAGTGTTTGTCAAAGACAGAACATTCATTAAATCTGAGTGGGCTTTTACACATGTGGAAAATGGGAATCACATTATGCACAAGTATATTGTGAACGTTGTGCATTTTGTATATTGCATGCATGAATGGCAAAAGGGATTTTACACATTAAAAGAATTGTATGTGAGATTTATACAAGCATAAAACGGTAGGTAAAATTTATGCAAATATAATACGGTGCATGGCATTTAATGTAGGACAGAGCCATACAGTATATCATGAGGTAAATATGTGGTTGATCAGAACCATATAGTGTATGGACATATTCTGTCTGTTGAATCCAAAATCTGCTGGATTGATATCTTTTAAATTGATGATTTAGTGTTTTGCAAAAGTAGAAAAATTGGCTCTTATAACTTTATCCTGAAAAATACTTTCTCCTACTAGTCTTTCTCTGTATAATAAAAAGAGTTCATTGAAATTTAGGATTTCACTTTGAGAGCTGCTGTTGGGGATAGGATAGAATTAAGCCATTCAGACTAATTTTAATATTTACCATGACATCAGTATTTTTGTGTTCCTGTTCCTACTTTTTTATGTTTTCTCTTATAGAGTTTTTTTACAGCCCAGCGGGGAATTTAACTTAACATTGTGACATATGTACTCCAATAATTTTTTGTTAGGCTTTTTTTTCAAATTTGTTATTGAAATAGTCCGTTTTTTTAATAGTTCAAAACTGCTCAACTTTAATTCTGGCTAAGGTTATAAAAGATTATTTTGATCCCCAGTAATAGAAAAAGGGCTTTAATGATGCCATTTGTTTGATTAAGAAACATGTAAATGAGTGGGTTAAAAAATTAGATCATCCTTTTTTCTTACTCATAGATGAAAATTTTAACTTTCTGTAAATACATTGTTCTTGTATTGAATTGTATCTGTGGACTAGATACAATGCAATATATCCAGAATCCTTAAAATATTATCAGTATCTTGCATACATGCTTACCTATTTATATTATGTGAAGAAATCGAAAGAAATGTAATTACATTTTGCCTCCCAGCCCTTTCCCTTGTATCCTTCCTTGCTTCCTGCAAGGATGTAAAGGTGTTAATTAGAAGGCAATACACATCCCAACTGTTCCTCATCTGTGGTTGCAGCTGTTTAATGGAATATGTGTACTTACTTCACAGAGCTTCTTTAGGGCAAATCGTAGATATGTATGTTTGCATCACTATAAAATGTATTTCCATTGTTTGGTCTCCACATGAATGAAAGCAACATTCTCGTTGATTCTTTAAAGTATTTCTATACATTAAAGGCATGCAGAGCTGAGATGATGAAGATATTACAATATATTTGAAAAGTGGGGTTTTTTTTCTGTAGATGCAGAATAAAGACTGATATGCATTTAGCTGGTCGGGGTAATGTTTTTGAGCACTAACATGCTCAAAAAGCTAGACGGGGCTGAAATGTTCTTGCAATCTTTTATCTTGCATTTGAATTTTCTAAAACAGTGTTTCTCAGCCTTGTAAATCAGTACTGTATAGTTAATGCTTTAGAGTAGCATTTCTCAGCCTTGGCAACTTTAAGATGTGTGAATTTCAACTGCCTCCACAAACTGGCTAGGGAATTCTGGGAGTTGAAGTCCACACATCTTAAAAGTTGCCAAGACTGAGAAACGCTACTCTAAATCAGTGGTTCTCAACCTTTTCTTCACCACGGACCCACTTTAAATACCTTTTGTGGCCATGGACCATGGCCACAGACCCCAAGACTTAATTCAAGATTTAAATCATAACATTTCTTCAAGCCTTTGTGGTTCCCCTGTGACAACATTGTCGGCCACAGATTGAGAACCACTGCTCTAAATCATTGACTATACAGTATTGATTTACTTCACACTATATACAGTATGTGCAAAGAATGAGTCATGTAAATAGAAGGGAACTGCTGAGAACTAAAATAAGCTTCAATCAATCATGTTTGGTTCAAGCTGCAATTTTCAAGTTGGCGTTTGGAGCAGGTTCACATAAATGCATTACAAAAAGTATTCTTCATTTCTAAAGCATCCCAGTCTGGAATGCAAAGACAGGAATAATTTTAACAAATGGGTAGTTAATACTGGATAAACATAATCCAGGCAGTTGTCAGCTCAGCTTTCAGTTACAAAAGTGGATCTAAGACTATCCTCCTTTATGTGTACTCTTTAGATGTACCTATCTAAAAAGGACCAGATTATCTCTCATTTAGTGTCTTCTAGTTACTCCACATTGTAAGCATTTCATCTCATTTGACTGTCCCTTATCTGGCTTAATAGTAGCCAAGCCAAAGGTCCAATATCTGCACAGTCTCACCTAACTCCTTACAGGAAGAAATAGAAGTGACTGTAATTAATCTACTTATCGTGCCTCAATTGAACTTCCCTGTGATTTTACCTGGCGGCTTCATAAATAGCATGGGGGATGGAATGGAATCTTATATCACTCCATTGCTCAGTGCTATAGGATCAACTCATTAAGTAGGACAACATCCACTTAATACCATGCTTCCAAGTTCAGCCCAGAGAAATCCAATAAGATCCCTTGGCTGAAATAAAAAGTAGAAGATTCAGAAAAATCAATAAGGTTGGGTTTCTTTGTTTATCTCCCAAAGTGGTTCTCCATTTTTAGCAGAGATTATTTTAATCCAGTGTTCTTTTAGGAACATAGGAAACTGGCAGTCAGTGGAAGAAATTAAACAGGCAGTCTTCATTTCAGAAAAGCTGATGAGATATGTGTCTGATGAGCCTTCTGTGCCTTGTTGCTTGCTACATTTCAGAGATAGGCAATCGCTGATACTTCAGATATTGTTGGATGATAATAAAAACTGTAATAGAGCTCCTGTCTAGAAAACCACATGTTGCTTATCTTTACTTGTTGGTGCAAAGAACTGCATTGTTCACATTGGTCATATATTTATTTGTTTGTTTGTTTATATTATTTATTTATTGGATTTCTGTGCCATACTAATCTCACTCCTCTTACTGATACAGAAGCTCTGGGCAGCTTACATAAAAAAATAAAAGTGCAAAAAACAAAGTAGAATAAAAAGTTAAAAATTAAAATTAAAAACCAAGATGATGGACAGCCTGGGGGAGAGAATCTTCTCTATCCCGTCAGCTACTCCAATGCAGTGAGTTTCTGTTGGGGGCCCAGGCCAAGCAGCTGTTATTATTTGATAATAGCTATATTACTCAATGCTTAATACATGTTGATAAGATGAACTTAAAAATAGGAACTTAATAAACTACTGCAATGGATTTTTGTTGCTAAGCTTGATGGAAAGATTCAGCAATCCTCAAATGGAGAAATGATTGTTGAAGATGAAGGGATCTGCTAAGATGACTAAATCAATTTCTTTGATTAGAGAAAAGTCAGTATCTATGTTTATGACAAATTGGAAACCTCTTATGGAGTTTTTGCGTAAAACAGAAAAAAATGAACTTACGATTTGTGGTTTGGATTATTACACATCTAACTCTTTATAGATGATCATAGAAAAAATGTTAAACTGTAAGAGTAAGAAGTAAATATATAATTATATTTATAACAGCTGCAAAGATTATTAGAAGCTACCTCTTTGTATCTTTTCATTCTTTTCTACTTTATTTTTTCCCCCTTTTCTTGCACTTTTAGATTTCTCTTCAATAGTTTTCTTTTTCTTACTTTATATAGTTTGCATTAGCTTTGCTTTGCTTTTTAAAAAAATCTTTAATAAAAATTATAAAAAAGAAACAAAGGGAGTGTCATGGGAGAGTTTTGAGGAAAAAAAACATATTATTTGCAAATCTTTAGAAAAGGATCTTTTCCCTTGTTCCAGTGTTGGCTTTTTGTCATTATTTTGTTTTGACCATTACCACCATATTTTAATGATCTGCATTGGTATTTATCTGATATTTTCTTCTGTTTTTACAGGAATGGGGGGTGACCCATCTCACTTTTGAATATGATTCAGAGCCTTTTGGAAAAGAGAGAGATGCAGCTATAGTGAAATTGGCTAAGGAAGCAGGAGTAGAAGTGACAACAGAGAATTCACACACCCTTTATGACCTAGATAGGTAAGATACCAGTCTCTTTATATGCATGTCTAAGGGGAAGACAAAACAAAACTGTGGATTGTTACAGGAGATGACTTGGAAGACTATTTTTTTTTTTGTAAAATGGGTCAGGGTTTCATTTTTTCTGTTATAGCCCTATAGATAAAGAAGTTACCAGTTTGCATATATAGCAAACTCTCATGACCTGAGACAGAGGAGAAAAGAATAAGAAGTTAATTCTAAATTTATAAAATGCAAACTAAGTCTGTTATGTCTATAAATACAAGTACCATAAATTATACCTACTGCAAACTTGCCATCCACTAAAATCCAGGCATGTTTGAAAAGAAGTAGTACTTTGCATGTGGCTATTAGGAAAGGATGCCTTTTTAAAGAATAGTGGAGGCTGAAGTAGAATAGGATTTCAGTGATCTGCCCATTATGTTCAGTCTGATCCATCCTAAGCATTCTTCACTTAAATTGCAATTATTGCTTCATATCATGTACTTCATAGCTGCCAACTCCCTAGTAAACCAAAAGTTTAATAGTGTCAGTCTGGACTATCTCTGGGTCGGTATTAATAGTGCCATCCAAGATGCTGCTCCAAGATGCTCACAGTGTTGCTCCAAGATGCTGCTCCGGCACGACAAGTCTCACAAAGATTCATTTCTGGCGGAGTTTGAGGGAGAGAAAGAAAGACTTCTGCTGCTTCTGCTGCTTTCCTTGCATGAACCCTCTCTCTCTCTCTCTCTCTGCCTCTGTCTCTCTCTCTCTCTCTCTTGCTCCCCCTGAGAATGGAGCTAGACATGATATCCTGCGATCCCAAATAAAGAATGATCGATCGGTAGGAAAACTGGGTGAGGAATTTTCCTGGAGACTTTGGGATTTTCCCAGGGTCTCTGGTCCGTGGGATTTAAAATTATGAGTTTGGTGTTCCCCGAGGTCCAAAAGGTTGGCAACCCCTGCTCTACTGAATGTGTGAGACCAAATATTAGTCATGTCAAGTCCAGTTAGGAAGCATGTGCAATCCTGAATCATTCCTGACTGGACAGCCTTACCTTCAGTGTTGAAAACGCCAAGAAATGCAAATCGTTCAAACTAGCTCATGAAAAAAGATAGCAGAGTCTATGGTGGTAGATAGCATGGTTTATGGTGTACGAATCATATATGTATATTGCCCTGACCATCCAGATGTAGCAGATTGCACTTAAAATTGCAGGCTATTGGATAGAATGGCTGAATTCATCGTGTGAATTCCACAAGATGGAATTCCTATAGGCCAGGGGTCTTCAAACTTGACAGCTTTAAGACTTGCAGACTTCAGCTTCCAGAATTCCTCCTCCAGTCATATTAGTTCAGGAATTCTGGAAGTTGAAGTCCACAAATCTTCAACTTGCCAAGTTTGAAGACCCTTGCTGTAGGTCATGGCTTGTCTACTTCCCTGTTTTAATTCCAGCCTGCTCTATGTGAACAGTCTACTGGAACACAAACACCTCTACGGTTCAATAGGAAGATATATGAAGTAATGTTGTTGCCTGTGCCAGTTTTCAAGGTTGAAGCGTGTGTGGAAAAAGACAAGCAGAAGCAATCCAGCAATTAGATACATGACAGAATTGGATAGAAGCCAAGAGCCAATCCCAGCCTTCTGCATCATTCAGTAGCTGGGGTGATATAAGAACACAAGACGTTATGGAGCAGAGCTAGCGGTAACATGTTCAGTTATGCTCTGCTCCCAATATTTTCATTTCTCTGGGACAGAAGGCTGGCACTAACAAAGGATGCAGGGCGGCTCCAGCTGGTGCTCATCTGACTTGAATCCCCACCCCACCTTGGGAATAATGTGCTCTGAATAAATCTGTTGGAACGCCTCAGGTCTTGCCCAATGAGGGGCCAGAGTTGAAACAGAACCGATCCTGTCAGCGTTCTTGCAGAATCATTGAAAGGATCAAGTTTGTGCTGGCTGAATAGAGATGTCAATTTTCCAGAAATTTAGAAGCCGCATAAAGTCAGAAATTTGGAGAATTTGCTGAATGAACATAGTAATCCTTCCGTTCCCCCCCCCCCCACACACACACACAATACCAAACTGGTGAGACCACACTTGGAATACTGCATCCAGTTCTGATCCTCATGATACAAAAAAGATGTTGAGAGCCTGGAAAGTGTGCAGAGAAGAGCAACAATGATATGTTGTGGAATGGATGTGGAGGCTAAATCATATGATGAATGGTTGAGGGAGCTAGATATGTCTAGCTTACTGAAGAGAAGGATTAGGGGAGGAGGGACATGATAACTGTCTTCCAGAATTTGAGGGGCTGTCACAGAGGCAACTGACTTATTCTCCAAACTACCAGAAGGCAGTACAAGAAACAATAGGTGAAAGTTTGTCAAAGAGAGATGCAATTTAGAAATAAGGAAATATTTTTGACAGTGAGAACAATTAATCAGTGGAATATTTTGCTTCTTGGAATTGTGGGTGTGGCATCACTGGAGGATTTCACAAACAGACTGGACAACCATTTGGGATTATATAAAACTCCTGCCTTGAGCAGGAAGTTGGATTAGAAGTCCTCCAAGTTCTCTTGCAGGCTTATGATTCTATGTTCTAAATCGCCTGCAAGTTAGACTGGGCTTTACTATGCATGCAGATTTCCACTTATGCAAGCAGTAAGGCAGAGGATGAATTTTCAGGGGAAATGGATGTTAAAAAGTGGGTAGATGGATGGAGAGAAAGATGTATACGTCAGGTTCCCAAGTGATGAAATTCATTTAAAAAGAAAAGAACAAAGTCCGTCTTCAAAAAAGATTTCTTTTATTTAGGAAAGCATCAAATTCCATGGTAATTCCATGGTAATTCCAGATCTGACACAACCCGGAATTACCCTACAATATTACAAGTTAGAAACAACCCCCCAAGTCACGTTCTTCAATAGAAGTAATTCAACGTTGCTTGATGTCATAAATCTCCACCTAAAGGGGCCCAAGCATGGACAGCTCGTTTCCCACGGGAAGAAAGATCAACTAGCCAAAACATTCTCTTTATCTCCCCTCCTCCCCCTTTAGGAATGTGTCAAGCCCGAAACTCTTCCCCCCATGACTGCCATAGAGAAAGTAAGAAAAAGAATATATACTAAGACTAACTAAAATGGCTTCACTTATGTCAATTTCGGGCTTGACAGTATATTTTAGCACATTGAGACAGACTTCATTCTTTATATATTAGTTTATTTCTTGATTTCATGGGTTGAAAACAGATTCCTTCACCATTGTTCTAGGTATCATTCAAAATGAAAGTTCTCCCATGAGCTGTTCAGAGCATCCAGAAGTGGGAGGTGCTTCAGTCTCTTCTGGAAAGGCTGGGCTTAAAACTCCGGGATGCTCCTCCTCCACGGGACACCTCTCCAGCGTCCCCCAGTTTTAGCTCAGCCTTCGTGGTAAGAGGTTGTGCACTCCCTGACTGGAACGGTTTTCTGATTCAGCTAGTCAAAATTAAGGTTTGCTCTTGGGTTAATTCGGCTTGTAAATTTTTCCCCAATTAATTTGGCAATTTCAAGGCTTGTGGCTCTATTAGGTCATCCCCCCGATCAGTTTGAGAGCAGTTCTTTGTGGCTGGCGGAGCCTACCACTCTGCAGGCAGCCTGAGACAGTCGCTTCAGGCAATTAGCTTATCTAATCCCCCGATCGTCTTATCTCTGCGATCTTGGTGAAGTGCTCGCAGCCGCGGCTCACTTCTCCTTGCCGTTTCGACTGACAGTATCATTTATCTGACAATTTAGAGAGTCAGTAGCAGCGGCTCGTTAAACTGCTCAGGCACTTAACATCGGAGATTCTGCCTTCCCGCCATTTTCAATGGCTGGCTTCAAGTTCGCGCCTAAATATCACAGGCGCTTTTCCCCGCTGGTTTCCCCGCTTTTTCCCGCTGGTTTTTTTCTTGGGGACTGGGGCAAGTACCTTCCCACTCCACTTCCCTGACATTATTTCTCTTTTATCTTGCTGGTGTTGGATAAGCAGGCTAGTCCTTAAACAGGAATTTTTTCCTTTTGCAATTGCTTTTGGATCATTACATTGGAGTGAAGCTGCAAGTGCCATTTCAAACAGCGGGACGTTTTTGACAGGAAAGGATCCATCCAGGCCCTGTATAGCTCGTTTCCCTTGTTGGGGACCAGGGATCCAGAATATTTCTTGCTTGGAGCGCTTGGGGGTTTCCCTTGTTGGGGACCCTTAGATACTGTTTCCCATTTACACAGTTTTACATGTGGATATAGGCACGTATATGTGTCTGTGTGTGTGTGTGTGTGTGTGTGTGTGTGTGTGTGTAGATATAGATATATAGACTTACACTCCTGGAGAAGCGTTCTACTTTCAACCACAGGGGTAGGCATCACCCCTAAGTACAAATAATAATAATAATAATAATAATAATAATAATAATAATAATAATAATAATAATTTTTAAAAAATTAAAGTTAGAGGCACGAGAATCAGTCCTCCACAATGGAAGGTGACAACATCTTCTTCCGCTCCAAGACAAATAAGTCCCGAGATAAGTCAGTGGGCCCCAAAAAGGCATCTGAGGTGGCGGATAAGGATGCCCATAGACGGCACCAAGCCTTGGAAAGGCAGTTGCAGAAACGGGCCAGGGAGGCGGACAAGATGGCTATGACACAACAATTGGATCAGGGCCCAAGTACATTGTTGGGGCCCTTGGACTTATCCACCCAGCCCAGACAAGCTATTTCTGGACAGCCTCCCATAGGCATATCTCCTCCAATGAGCACTGCCCGGCGAATCCCAGAGGCAACCTTCACCCCTGTGGCTGCCGGTTTAAGATAGGAGGAGGGATTACCTGAGACTATTCCCATCAAAATGAGGCAATGGATGGAGATGGCTATACAAAAGGGCATTGCGGCTGGAGTTCAGCAATCCATCCGGACTAGACACTTTTTGGCTACTTCAGAAGCGGGATCCCTGTCTGCTTGATCCTTTGCGCATATGGGACATCATCAAACTCAGGTATTCCC